CTATCAACTAATCAGCCTTAAGACAGGTGAGGTTTTCCCACAGCTCTCAGGAAACTCTATCTGTAATTGGCTTCCTCTGCGCTATGAGAAATCCCACCCAATGGCACAGGCTAACGGGCATGGTTTTTTTTCCCCTAAAATGTTTCAGTCTTGCCTTCAGTTCCCTTCCATGTTAATCAGGTAGGGGGACTTACTTGGCCTTGGTGTAAGCTTCTCATGCTCCAAGCCCTCTCTTGCAGCTCCTGGCACTGGGGTCTTCCACCTTCTGCTGCCCGTGGGCTGCGCTTTCCCTAATGCTCCCCACCAACCTTTCCTGACTTCAGGACCCTATGAAAGTCAGCTGGAAAATGGCTGCCTGCACCCATCTACGCCTTTTGTATTCCCCTCTCGCAACTGGGGAAGAGGGACATGGAGTGGGAAGAGAGAAGCACATACAAGAGGAGCCTGTGGTGTGACCCCTTCCAGTGGGGTTTCTGGGCTATGGGATTTGATTTGCTGGCTGGATCTGGTTTAGTTGGAACCTTCTTCCCTTCCTCTGCGAGGTGCTGGCCCCCCTCTGGATGCAGCTGCCCTTTCAGAGGCTGACTGACCTGACTGTGCAACCTGTAGGCCCTTTTAGCCCTATATATTTGTTGTGTCTGCTCCTTCCTCCTCTCCTCCATCCCCAAGGCTGTGGCATAGATCATAATAATCTAGATGGAAACATGTCCTGACATGCCTGCTGTGTTTAAAACGGTCTCAAGCCATCCCTGGGGGACATCCAGGGAACAGCAGAGCCACCTACCCTTGCCTGTCGCAGAGGTGTTTATCTCATCCCTCAGTAGGGATTCGATCCCTCCTGCCCGCCTCTCTGGCTGGAGCTGCCATTTCACCTGCTCAGTGACATGACCCCCAACCTTGGGCATCTCTCGGATTCCTCCTCTTGGATTCCTTTTGTGAGGCAGCTCACTTTTCTGTAAGTCTTGCGCTGACGGCATTTGCAGCAGCCATTCAACATTCACACTGATAATATTTTTCTCTCTCTTCTTTTATCGCTCCTAAATTTGCAGCCCTGAGTTTGACCCGAGGGCTCTCGGTGGCAGGCCGGTCTTTCTCCCTCTCCCCTAGAAGCTGCTGACATCTAAACTGGATAGGCAACGTGCTCAGAGGCAGTTGTCAATAGCTGGGAAAGATGACACTGTATCTGGCTGGAACAAGGCAAGCGGAGCCTTCCCACGCCTTGTCGGTCCATTGAAAGTTGGAATTGGCAGAAAAGACATCAAAGCAGGTGTGAGAATGCCACGGCAGGACTTGCCAACGACTCCTCTGTTCATGTCTGTGATGCCAGGAGCCAGGGCAGGGGAGAGATGAAAAGCGCAAGCTATTTAATATTCCCTCCCCTCATGAAAGCAACACGTCCCTTGTTTCTGAAGAGCTTGTCCTGTGCCATAGCGGCAGCTGTTAGAGGTTGTGGTGGCATTAGCCTCTTTGCGCCGCGAGTTAGCAGCACTTGGCAGGCTGACAGTTACATTGTACTGTACATAAATGTGTACCTTGCATTGATCTGCCAGCGCCTACCCTGCTACGGTAGGGTACCCTACCTCTACCCCTTCCTGCCTCCAGAGGAGCTCCTCTCTGGGAATTCCCTCCTGAACCCCTTCTCTTCTCTTCTTTCCCAGGCACCCCTGCAGCTCCCCTTCTCCCACGTCCCCTCTTCGCCTCCCCCAAACACCGCCAGCCCTGTATTGCTCACACACTGTGGTGGGGAAGAGCTTGTGCTAAACAGGTTCCTTACTTCTGCAGACTGGCACCCAAGCTAAAATACAGCCAGCAGCTCTCGGCTCGGGATTCAGGAGAGCCCTGCATGAGGGGTGACCTTTTGAACTCTCCAGCTATATCCAGCACCCTTAAATAACAACAGCAGCTGCTCCACACTGTCCCCCAGAGGACGTTAAACCCCCCACCTCCTCTCCTACCAGCGTTTCCAGACCACTCCTTATCAGTGACTTGCTGCAGCATCCGCTCCCCACAGCTCTACCAGACTCTTGCTGCCCAAGAACCCACCATCCTCAGTGACTGCTCCTATTACCTGTAGATCCTCTCTTTGGGAGCAGTTTCCACAGATACCTTTCCCCAGAGATACTCCACCCTTCCTGGCCTTCCCGTGGTCCTGTCTTCTTGCAGCTCCCATATATACCTCCCTCTCTTCCACTCCATGCAATGTCTTCCTGCACATGCTCCTGGCTCCCCAAACCCCTCCCAGGAGCTGAGTAAATGGGTGAGGACAGTCATAGGAGTGAGTGACCCCTGCCACCGAGCCACTGCCAGCTTCAGTAAAAACCTAGGGAAAGTCCGGGGAAATAACGTCGTTCAACTGGAGATCAGGATGAACAGCTGCACGGTATTACATACCTTTACTGAAAATACCTAAAAGACCCCGTAGACTTTTAAAAGCGTGAATATTCAGAGTCAGCTTCCTACTGAAAAACAAACAAACGCAATGGTTCTGTGTCCCTTGCAGTGAGTATTGCCACTATTTTGCCAAACAAGAGGACTCCTATTTATTTTTTTTTTAAAAAGTTTGTCTAAAAATAATAAATCAGTCCTTGGGAAAATTCAGGGCCAAATTTAGTGGGAGTGTAAATGATGGGCCAAGGTATGCCATGGATGTAATTGTTAAGACTAGTGAAACTTGCACTGACCCAGCCTTCTGTAGGTGAACCATGTAGCTTAATTTTTAAGCGGAAGTGGGTCACTACAGGAATTGTAGGAGGAAAAACCACCACTAGGAAAGTGTAAGACAAAGTAAGTGGTAAAAGAAAAGGGCTGATTCCTTATATGTTTCTGGCAGCTATTTTCCTGCCACACATCTTTGGAAGCAGCCTTGACAACTCATCAACTCATTGTGAGCCTCATGGTATTTGGTATTCTTAAAGCCCCAGTTTCTGGAGTCATGTGGTCATGTGAGACTCTTGGCTTTCTTTTCTTAGAAAATATGTTTTTAGCCCTCATGGCAGCGGAGCACAGGTAACTGGAAAACATAGGTAAACATAATAACCCATTAAAAAAAATTTAAGCCTATCTGATGATTTTTGGTGGCCTGCCTCATGGGTTTTGAACAGCCGAGTCATCTAATACTGTACAAGTAACACTTATTTTGTACACTGCTCACTGCCAAACGGGTGCACACTACACTACCCTTACCTCTTACACCTGTGTTTCCATTGCTATTGAATTTGGCCCAACACCCTGCGAAACAACAAAGGAAATTTAATATTAAACCAACTTTCTAATTACATTAAGGGCTGGAGAAACTCCAGCTTAGAATTAATGTTTACTCACCCTATTATGCCTAGAGCATGTTTAGGGTCTCAAAGCAATAACATGGGTCTTATTCTTGGCTCTGCTGATGCAAAGGGGTAATAGACCTAATCAATCTGGCCACCTGGGGATTCCCTTGGTGTGTCAATCCACTCACAGTCTCTGCCATGGGGTGGGAGCAGCCACAGGGAAAGAGTGTGCCTGCAACAGCTCTGCATTTCTACTAGTCCTGGCTGCCAGACAGCCCTCTGGGCTGTAGGGAGTTGAGTGTAAATTGGAGCAGTCCTAAGGAGGCTGAACCAGTCCCCACGGACTCCTGGGGTTGTGGAACCACAACGTTGGCATAATAGCAAGTTTGTCCTCGCCCACTCTGGGTTCTGTACTAAGCATAGCTCAGCTGTATGTTCTGCAACAGTGACCCACATTGTGGTGAATTCAGGATGGCGCTGAAATGATAAACTCTTGAATTCCCTTCTCTGTCAGTGCAAGTCACGCCCCTATTGCGTTATTATATCGGGGCTGTAAGAAAGAGCGGTTATGACACATTGTGTCACAGATCAATGTAATGGCTCTGTCAGTCTGTCGGGCCAGTCTCTTCATATGTATTACACAATAAAATATAATGGCTCCAAAGGAGGCATTAAAATCAGTCAAGTAATCACAAAGCACCTTCTTAATAAGACTCTCCAGGAGAGCTGTGCACTCTGAATGTTTGGAAAGGAAGTGTTTGATAGTACAGGTAATTATTATTATTGTTTGGTGTATGCATTTGGTAAGCAATGAAAGTAGGATCTTTTTTATGCCAGAAATGATTAAAACGCATCGTGTTACAACGAAGGTGTTCTTACATATTATCGTATGTACTGTATTACTTAGGCGCCGTGCACTTAAAGTGAAGGTTTCAGCTTTAACTTCCAATATACTTGGTTTTTTGTAGGCTTAAGTCAGAGCCTTAATGTTATCAAAGTAGTATTTAGTGGTGTAGTGAGTATATAAAATGCTGTTTAAAAAATAATTACATATAGCTCAAGACGGGAAAAAGCAGTACATTCCTGTAAACAGCCACTTAAGATGTGGGCAATAAATAAATGACTGTAATAAATAATTTGTCATGTCAGAGCTTAAGCGTTTGGTAGGATGTTGAAGGAGTGGAGGGTATTCTTTTTCCATTGCATTCTGAGGTACCTTCAAAATGATTGGGGGTTAGAAGAGGAGATTTTACTGAGCATTGGGGCAAGCTTTTGGAAAGCTTATACAAGTGTATGGGACTCGTCACCTTCCCGCCCTCCCTTTGTATTCCCCCCTCCTTACCCCCGAAAAGACACTCTCACAAATATATGTTGCTTTCTAACTTGTGAAATTAAATAGACGTCCTTAAATCTGTGGACTGACTTTATGGATTATTTCTAGCAAATCTGTGGAAGAATGAGCCCTGAGAGTAAAGGGTCAGTAAATGCAATTAAAGGGTCTCTAATTTCCCATTGGCTACTGCAAGTAAAGTGTTTTGTCTTTCCACATACACTGGTAGTCCTCTTGTGTCATACTTTTCTGCCCATTCTTTTCTTTTCAAACATGCCCTCCTTGTGGTGAAAAGGAGTTTTTCTTTATTTATATATATAATGTAAAAAATATCAGATGTGCTGGCATTTAAATGCTACTCCAGTTGTTCAGAGATCGTGGGCTAGTATAGCAATTCATTGTAGCTTGTAATAGAGGTAATGTCACTTTAAGACATGTGATACTTTACAGAGCAGGGATGTATTGAAATAGACTACCGGTACTTACAGCATTGTATAGCAATCCTGCTTTCTACATACAGCTGCTTTACTCTGCATTGAATGCACTGTAGTGAGGCTGCTCTGTCATTAAACATAAACTGATCCTCATCTTTAAGTACACTGGAAGCTGCAAATTATCTCAAGATCACTTCAAAGGTCTCATCAAGCAGAAGGTGACGTTAGGAGATGATTTAAAGGTGAAAATGACAAGGTTTCCACCCCTCAAACCTTGGCCACTTTTCTGACAACACAGTCTGAGAGCTCTGATGTCTTCTTTACTCTGGGAATAGGATTGGTAACGAAAAAGAGAATTTTTTTTTTAATCCTGATAAAGAAGATTATTGGGAAGCTATTTAAAATCCCTTATTGTGGTACAGATGGATTTTAAAAAGTGTTAGATCTTTCCAATGAACACTAATAGAGTACTCTGCTCTTGGTTGGATTACTCAGGTAAGGAGCTTCTTTAGGATTTAAGATTCAGAAAGCAGATCTTGAACTCATCTGATAATAACTGGAGGAATACTCGCTGTTGTGTGTGTGTGTGTGTGTGTGTATATATATATATATATGTATATTAGCAAGATGCCCTCTTTGCATAAAAACAGTGTGTTCGACAGCAGTTGTAGTGAGCTGACTAACAAGTACATGAAGAAATGAAATGCTAGTAAGGAAGGAATGTTGGGGCTTGAACAAAGTTAATTTAAATAACGTAGTTTGAGGAAGGATGGAAAAGATGTAGTAGTCTAAGAGTGAAAACGTGGTGGGGGGGAGGGATTTCAAAGTCATCTATTCAGTGTGATTAAGAATATGATCCCTGGACACATTTAAAAAAAATAAATAGGAGCTATTGGGAGACTGTAGAAGTTTGGCTTTGCTTCACTGTTTGGCTAGGATTTTAAAGTTCAGGTTAAATAAGAGCACTTTATGCTTGAAATATCAATGCATGTTAGAGTCACCTTTCCCTTTTATGTCATCGTACGAAAGCCTGGGAGCCCCAGAAATGACTAAAAAAGCATTAATTTCTGAAGACACGGGAGGTCCATTGTGAGCTATCTGTTTGGAGGGGGTTGAATCCATGTTGCACTATTACTCAATCTGAAAACAAAGGAGGGAAAGTATACAAAAGTAAACAGTAGGAAGGAAAACTAATTATATGCCGAGTAGTGCATCAGATACACAGAACAGGGAAACAAACAGCCTCATGGTGAAGAAAATAATGTTTTGCTATTTTGCAGTTAATTATACTTGTCAGTTTATTTGGGGGATTTTCGGCCATTAGTCTTTAAAACAATCCTCAAATACCATGCTTATTTATTAAAATAACAAAAAAGATCTGTGCATATATTTTATTGACACTTAAGCATCCCTATTATTTTTAATAGTGTGTATTTCCCCAATAAAGAAATCCTGCTGATAGGTCATTTTTTGGATTTTACATTGGTCGCCTCGATCTTTCCTAAATATTCAGTGTGAAGAGAAGATTTTTAGCTTTAAAGTCTTCCATCCTCAGTGAACATGATGTTCTGCTGATTGGATTATTAGATAGAAAGTGGCATCATGTTATTGGCTGAATAAGGAGAATGCCTGAAGTTTGATTAATTTGGCAATATGAAATGCAGCAGAAGGTGTTATTAAAGAAACTGGACGATATGTAGCGTAGCTGAGCCTTGCAAATTCTACAATCCTTGCAGGTATTGAGAAGGAGCCGTTAAAGTCACAAAGTCTGAGAAAATTTAACCTATTAGTATAATAATAAATGTATGGAAATATCCACCACCTATAATATATCAAGTAGTCAAGTGTGCCAGCATTGGGAGACAGAGAAAGAAGTACACCATTCCTTTTCAGCAAGAGTCTGTCTTTAAATTTTGACACACTCTACCTTATGAAAAGATCAAACCTCCTATTTGCAACATATAAAATTCAGTCTGCCCTTACTATTATTGTTTATGAGCATAGGCCAAACAAAAGGAAGCTGATTTTATCTGGGGACTAGAACACAATTCTGAGAAACAATTACTTTGTTTAGCAGACAGCATTCATTGCAATTAAAAATTAATGTGCACAGAAGTCAAAAACAATAATCCGTTACCTAGTGGGTAGGTATTTGCCTTGCAGCCTTGGGGATGGAGGATGCTTAAAATGCATCTCAGATATCTGATAATGTTGTATGACTATCTGTAATGTATTTAAAGTAGTTTTGATACTGTCTGAGGAGCTCATTTTTTTGGATAGTACTGTAATTTCCCCCCCTGGTAAGTTAAATTGCAGAACAGAGTGAGAATATTTCCCTGGCTTCTATTTATGTTGTTTTTCTTCAAGTACTTGGATCATTATAGTTTCATTTGTGCCACTGAATTATTAAAGTTACCAAGTCTCCCATGCTGACATCTCTTTACCTCAACTCTCCTTGTTTTTGACACGACCTTTGTCATAGAACCGTTGCAACCTGCAAGGAGGCGGGGGCGGGAGGATCAGAGGGTGGGAGAGGAAAGAAACAAAGACATTATAAAGGTAAAAATACTGTTGTAATCACTGCTAAATACTGTGTGTGCTCTAAGGCTATATATAATAATGCCTGTCTAATATTTCATTTAGAGAATGGCAATGGTCTCTGCAATGTCTTGGGTCCTGTATTTGTGGATAAGTGCCTGTGCAATGCTGCTCTGTCAGGGGTCTCTTCATCACACTTTCCAGCAGCATCACCTGCACAGACCAGGTAGGACCAATCAGCTACAGGATGTTGTAAGATTACAGGCACTCTATCCGTGCACTTGTCTGCCTTGATAAATGGTTGAATAATCATAAAAGTCCCATGTTGTTATTGAACATTTATGAGTTGTTTGTCTACGTATCTCAGAGTATCTTTCTGCTCAGCCTAATGTATGCCTGTTTGGTATTGGTATATGCCTCCTGTTAACATCCTTTTCTAACACCTTCTCAACTCAGAAGGCTGATCACGGGAAACCCATTTTAGATAAGAATTTAATTTCTCTGTTTATTTATTTATTTTTCTGTGTAATAACAGAATAAGTTTTGTCCCCCAGAAGAAATCCTGGTGGCAGAGCTTTGTGTAACTTTATTTGCTGTATCTATGCCAGTCTGGGCACAAATTGTACACTTGCACTGGTATGAGCCAACTTCTGATAATAGCTGAGCCTTTTCACTCTTCCTGAGGTCAGTGGGATGGACTGGGTCTAGATGAGAGCAGAATTTGGCCTGGAAGTTTTAATCTTACTGATGACCATGAGGTTGCAAAGGTGCAACTCTGAGTAGAATTCAGGCCTGGGTTTCAGTGGGGCTGGATGGGTGTTACTGAGAGCAAGTTTTAGTTTCTTTGTTTATGGAACGGAAAAGTCAACTGATTTTCACTGACACATCAGAGACTCTATATAAATATTTTCTTTACTTTGATATTCTTCAAACAGAAATTGCTGTTGTTAATTTTCAACGGTAATTACTTTGTGAACCACGTATCATATGCAAAATGTTGAAGAAATGGCATATTAAAGCTCATTATTACCAATAAGTTAGAAACGAGAGAACCTCATGTTGTAATTTCACATACTCTGAACCCAAGGAAAGGAGTGAAAGTTCTTCCCAAGAGAATTAGAGATGAAACAGAGACTATTAGCTGGTAATTACACGTTATTTAATTTGCAGAAGCAGGTAGATCAAAGCAGAATTAGAATAAGGCTAACATTTTCAAAAGTGATAGGGCTTAGCCTCCTAAATCACTTAGGCACATTTGAATAAAATTGCCCTTAATCTTTAGCGGGTCTAATTTTTTCCCCCAATTGTTTTCACTGCCCAAAAGTGATTAGGGTTTTTTTTTTTTTTGGATATCTTCTTGCCTTCTCTCAATAATGTAACATAAAATAAGTATAATCATAGCCTGGAGGGGAATGGTTCTAAAAATTTGACTCACAGGCTTTATCTAATGAACAACTATTATGTGTTTTGTGTTGGCTTTAGTAGCCGGCGTTTTAAAGTTAGGGAATACATCCTGTTTTGGTTGTTCTTTTTTTGGAATACACAGAGAAATGCCCATTAAAACACAACAGTGAAATCACCATTGGTGATCTGAGACTGTCCCCTGGCTAAACAAACAAACAAACAAACAAACTACTTGCATAAATAGGTAAAAGGAAAATGTAATCTCATTTTGTAAAATCTGTTGAAACAAGAGACATTATGAGAAAAAATGAGAGCCTGGCCGATCCAGAGCTTTGCCACATTTGCCTAAGCTTGAAAAATCACTTCTTTTATGAAGCAAGAACAGTCACACACTGAATGCATACCAAGTATTGGGGAAATGTGGAAAATGACAAATCTTTCACTCAGAGCTGTGATACAGATATAGTGAAGGTTTTACAGCTGCCTCATCACCTGCTTAGGAACCTCAGAGATTTTCCTCTTGCGAGCCTTTCTCAGGCAGCTACTCCGCACCCTGCATGAGTAAGATTGATGGTGTTCTGATCCCAGGCAGCCAATTTCAGTCTCTCAAGAAATAATCCAGTACATTGACAGATGAGTGGAATTTGACATGGTGTTCACCTCTGATTCAGATTGTTCTGCACCTGGAAAGTACCAGCTAGGGAGGGTCCTTTAGAGGAAACAGAGATTCTGGACGATTTCTACTGTCAGAACATGAAATCAGGACAATGTTTTTATAAGGCCATGAATTTTCAGTCTGCTTACTGAATGCAATAGGTTTGTACATAAAAGGGATGGAAATATGTTAACTAGAAAACGGACTGATTTTAATGTATTCAGCTATCCCTAAGCTCTTCCTAGTTATAATATTAGAAATGTGTTTGTTAGTCACTGTACAAGTAAGATTAAAACATTCAGCCAAATAAGGATTAATAAAAATGATGCAGATGAACCAATGTACAATTTCAGTCATTTAATATTTGCATATATGGAATTTTGAGTCATGGCAAAAATAGCTGTGGTCAATAGCAGGTTCAGCATACGTTTTCTCATTTTGTGGGATTACATGGATATTAGTCTGATACTTCATTTAAGAGACATTCTGAACAATTAAAAACTCAATAGTAGAACTACTTTAGTATAGGCGATAATTAAAAGAGACAGATTCCCCCCTGTCTTGTGCCTCTTGTACTTGATGAATGCAAGAGTATCCATTAAATACAAGTACATGCAGTGTTAAAAAAACAAATTCTTATTTAGTGGATTTAGCCTAATAAACTTGAATTTAACTGAATGGATATAGGTATTGAAAGTATCTGTTTCTAATGCCAAGGTTAATTCAGTAATGAAACACTATGGATTTCTGGCATGAGTCATTGAAAGGTGAATTTATCAAGTACAGTAGTCCTTTTTTTCTAAAACTTTCTTAAACATTGTACATTTGCCAGAAGCTGGGAATGGGCGACAGGGGATGGATCACTTGATGATTCCCTGTTCTGTTCATTCCCTCTGAAGCACCTGGCATTGGCCACTATCAGAAGACAGGAATCTGGGCTAGATGGACCTTTGGTCTGACCCAGTATGGCCGTTCTTATGTTCTAATGCTTTCACTGCAATATATAGTTCTATAATTCATCATTTTGGTAACCTATAGATGACTTGGCAGAAGGTACAAAATTGCAAACCATTTTATGTGACAGAATTTGTAAGTGACTGTAGCTTTATTTTCTGTGAAATAGTGGCTGAAGGGCACATATAGGATACATTAAATATTACTATGGGTATAACATTGGGCATAACATATTGCACATGTACATGGACTGTTGTCACATTAACCCAAATGCTTGAATGCATATAATTATGTCTTAGTAAGGCATGTATTAGTGAATATTATTTTAAAATGAAATAGGTCGGGTGTGTGCATTGAGTTTTTCCTTCCTCTTCACAAAGACTCAAAGGACAAAGTCTTCATTTGGTGTAAACTGACATAGCTCCAATGAGGGCCAGCTCCAGGCACCAGCGAAGAAAGCAGGTGCCTGGGGGGCCAATGGAAAGGGGCGGCACGTCCGGGTCTTTGGCGGCAATTCGGCGGCGGGTCCCTCAGTCCCCCTCGGACCGAAGGACTTGCCGCTGAATTGCCGCTGACGAATGAAGTGGTATGGTAGAGCTGCTGCTGAAATGCCGCCGGTCTCGGTTTTATCTTCTTTTTTTTTTTTTCCTGCTTTGCCGCTTGGGGCAGCAAAAAAACTGAAGCCGGCCTTGGCGCCAATGCAATATAATTCTCTTTAGGTAATATTGTCTTCTGCAGATCCTTATATAAATATATTTCATTTTCAAGAAAATTATATTATAGAAAGTACGTATGAAAACATGCATAGGATATAACTTTAGGAAGAAGCAATCAATGTTCTCTGAGTACTTAGTTTGGTTTGGATTTAATAAAACACAATGAGAACAATTCCACATTGGCCATTTTAGACTCTAGGATACATACAGTTGTATGGCTGTTGAATTGGCCTGAGGATTAGACTGGACAGGCTGTGATTTAAAGAGTTAGCCAGTAATAGTCCGTTGGTCATCTGATTGACAATATTGACTCACTTCTACAGAAGTAGGAAGTAGACATTAAGATTTGGCAAGACACTAAGGTATCAACAAAGCATAGCGAGTCTTAAGGATGCAAATAAATTAAATATTCGCATCAGTGTCACAAATATAGAAAATGATCTCTCATTGTTTTATCATGTACAAGAGATTATATTTCAATTCAGCAAAGAACCTTAATTAGCATTAAATCTAAATGGAATATACACTGGTTAGACCTTGAAGTTAAAAATAAACACCCAAATTTCAAGTTACCATAACCTGGATCTTACACCTTTTAGCCCATGTAGAATAATTTGTTAAATGTTCAGGATGCCAAGTTGGTCCTACATGGATTTTGTAAAATATAAAGATGCAGACTAGAAACATAGACCTACTGTAACAAGGTTGACATTTGCAAAGATGTTAATTAAAAAAATAGGCCTATTCAGAGTGGGAAAAATAGTTGTATCAGCATGAGCTCGCTTAGCTTGTATCAGTGAAGTTGTGGTTGGCTTTCTCAAGGCAGTACGCCAAGAAAGTGCCTAGTAGTTTCTTCTGCTTTTTTTTCTATTGGCAGTGTTTCATGTGTTACTTTGTACTGTAACAAAAATGCATCAAGCGATTCAGTTATATAAATGTTACAAACAGGACTTTAGGTCATACGTACACCTACTAAATACTAAGCTATCCATAGTTTTATTTATTGTGGCAGCAGCAGATCTTACACTGATCAAAAATCATCTTGAGAAGAGTTTGCCCATAAATACTAAGAGAAAAAAATCACTACGCCAAAGCAATCTTATAGAAAGGACCTAGGAGGTCCAAACAAGGCCCTAGGAGTTCTCTGAGCTTGTTTCATAAAAGAAAGGCAGCATCTTACAATGACTTGAGCTATGGCTGTGAGCAAGGGACTTTAGTTTTAATCCTGGCTCTGCCACTTACTTGGGAAGCCTTAGGGACGTCACTTAGGTCCAAATCTTCAAAAATTGTACTAATCTGGGGTGGCTCCAATTCTGGTATTTATGACATTTTTGGTATTTATGACAATTTATGACATTTTTGTAAAAATGTTGGGCTTAGCCTCGCCGTGCCTGTTTCCTCAGTAAAAATATGAATATAATATTGCCTTGCCTACCTTGCAGGATGGTTGAGAATCAGTGACCTAATCCAATGGGATTTTTGCTATTGATGTTGAGA